ACTACTATTGTATTGCTGCTGATGTGTCTCCTTGGACCTATTAGGAGCCGCTATATGTGTGTGTGTGTGTGTGTGTGTGTGTAAGTATATGGACATAGTATATGTATGTGTTTAACTATATGGGCATAGTGTATGTGTGTGTAAGTGTATGGACATAGTGTATATGTGCGTGTTTAAGTATATGGACATAGAATATATGTGTGCATAAGTATCCATACATAGCATATATGTGCATTAATATATACACTGAGCATACAGGTGTGCATAAATATATATGTGGGGCATATATGTGTGTATAAGCATATACACATAGTATATATGTGTATAAGTATATGCACAAAGTATATATGCATGTATAAGTATAGTATATGCACAGAGTATATATGTTGTATATGTATATATGCATACCATATATGTGTATAAGTATATACATAGTATATATGTGTGTGTAAGTATATACATACTATGTGTAAAAGTATATACATAGCATATATGTATGTATAAGTATATAGGCATAGCATATATGTGTGTATAAATATATACATAGTATATATATGTGCATAAGTATATACATAGCATATATGTGTGTAAGTATCTACATAGCATATATGTCTGTATAAGGTCTGTATAAGTATACATACATTGCGCATATACCTGTGTGTTATCTGTCGCTCTCCCAACTGCTTCTCTTGTTTGTGCACACATATTGGTCATACGCCCTCTCGACCTTCTGTGGTTCCTTCACCCAGTCCGCACTGTCCGCCCCTCTGACTGGCAATTTGGCCTGATGCCAGCACGACCCCCGCCCCTCCCCCCACCCTGCTTGTTTTCAGTCTTCCCTGGGCTCACAGGAATGTTTTCCGACCTTCCCTCTCAGTCGAGAGTGTCTTGGAGGCAGCAGAAGGTTGGATTTTGTTTCTTGATCCATCAGCGGCTCTGCGCCTTCTGACGAGAGAGCTGAATCCACTGACATTTAGAGAAATGACTGATATTTGGGGATTTTGTTGTATTCATCTGTGAGGATCTGGGTTGTTCTTGCCATCTGGCACTTGCTGTGACGTGAGGCCAGTCCAGACCCCTGGCAGAGGTGGGCTGGATGCCTCAGCTGCTGAGTGTTTGAGAATGTCTTTAACTGTTCCTTCAAGTCTCAGCAACAGTCCTACAGAATCCAGGATTCTTAGTTGGAGGTCCTTTTCACTCTGCACTCTCACTATATTGTTTCCATTCTCTTCTTGCTGAAAGTTTTGTCTGAGAAATCTGATGTAGATCTTACTTTTTGTTGGTTTGTCTGTGAGCACTGGCTTTTCTCTCGCCACTGTAAGGCGTCTATCTGGGTTCCTGCCGTTTGGATCCCACTGTGTCTTGCTGCTGCTCCATCTGGATTTACTTCAGTGGATGTGCTTCAGGCTTCCTGGATCAAGGCATCAAACCCCCCTTTCAGACTGGGGACCTTGTCAGCTATTTCTTTGGCTAGACATTTTCTTCCACTCCCTCTTTCCCCCACTTCTGGAATTTTTATGATTTTCAGGTGTTTTTCTCCTGATATTGTCAACTAGATCCTTTAAATTATCTTCACTTTTTCTCCCTTTCTCCTATTATCTATTTTTTTTTTCAAAAAATTTTAATGTAGGAGTATTGCTAATTATTCAGCCACTGAATAGGCTGACTGAATTGGGCATAAACTCCACCTTACTTTTTTTTCTTTTTTATAAATTTATTTATTGAATTACCGTGAGAGCAGTTTCAAAGCTTTAGGGTCTAAGTCTCGGTCATACAATGATGAAACACTCGTCCCTTCACCAGTGTTCACTTTCCACCACAAAAAAACCCAGTATGTCCCCCATCCCACACCCTTGCCCCTACCTATGTGGCAGATGATTTCCACATTACTCTCTCTCTACTTTGATTACATTCAACATTCTGACACCAGACACACCATTATTATTTGGGATTTTACCCCAACACTGAGATCTGCCGAAAAGGCAACAGTAGACAATTTGTTTTCTATTGCTGGTTATGAATAACATATGATGTCGCGCAGTTGCAGTAGTGATTTTGGAATTTCTAAATTTTAACAATTAAATCTGGAGGGATTTCTTCCAAAACCTGCTGGGTTCCGAGATTTGTTCCTGAGTCTCTGGGATCATGGCCGTTGAGCAGCTTGATCAGGAGCCAGAGAGGCCATTCGTGGGCGATGACTTGGGGTCTCGTTGGGGTGGGGAGGAAAGGGCTGGCTCCACCCCCATCCCATGAGGCCCTGAGTGTCTCATCACTGAGGGCCCAAACCTGACTATCCAATGGCCTCTGGAGGATGCTGGCCACTGAACCGCCAAGGGGGAGCAGGTGGAGGGACAGCACCCCTTCCCCTCTGGGGTGGCCAGCGCCAGTAACCTACTTTGGGGACCAGATGCATTTCTGCCAAAAGTCACTGGGTTCCGAGATTTGTTTCTGAGTCTCTGGGCTCATGGCCACTAAGCGGTTTGATCAGGAACCAGATAGGCCTTGCCTCCAATTATATAGCTGAGCCGGAGGTGGTTTGTGGGTGTGTCTCCCACATACCTAACTTTTGGCCGTTTACTTTCTTGGTAAACTTGGCCCCAAGTTGTGGGGTCTGCCACAGGCATGGAAGCAATTCTGGGGTATCTAGAAGTCTGAAGGCACCATCAGGCTGCTGATGCACTCACCTCACAGGTACAGATTGACCTGCTGGCAGCACCATACCTCAGGCTATTATCTATTCTTTACTGATGACTTGTGTGCCTTTATCTTCAAAGAGTCACTAACTCTATGTTTTTCTTTCTCCATCTGCTGATGAGACTTGCAACTCTATTCTTCAACTTCTTTATTTCTACTTGAATGAGCTCTTTCATTTTTCCCATTAGACTCTCCTCAAAGCTTCCTGATTCTCAGCTATAGTGATCCCCCCTTTCTAGCCCCCACCCTGCCCAATTGTTGGACACAGAGAGAGATGTCATTTTAAATTCTTCTTTGGGCAGTGTAGAAAGATCTAATGTAGCTGAAGGTCTTCTTGGGCTTCTGTTGTTGTTCACTGATGCAGCTAAAGCTCTTCTTTTTTTGCATTTTTTGGGGTCACACCCATGCTCATGATGATGTTCATGGATTACTCCTGGCTCTGTACTCAGGAATCACTCCTGGCATTGTTCGGGGGACCATATGGAGATGGAAGGCAAATGTCCTACCTGCTGTGTTATCGCTCCAGCCCAGCAGCTAAAGTTCTTGATCTTCTCATTTCTCCTGGTGCTCAACGGGGGCTACACATGGAGGCGTGAGCTACCCCAGGTGCTTCCGGGCACTGGCAGGGAGGGGTGGCAATAGCATCTCTCCTACTGCTCTGCTCCCTCCCAACCCTACAGCCAACCTGCAGTCCGGGGGGTGGGAGGCATTGCTGGCTGCTGCATCTCTCACAATAGGAGGTCCAGAGCATCCCCCAGGCCTGGACTGTCTCTCCAGCCCGACTGTTCCCTTGCAGCAGCATCAGGTGGGGCTCAATTAAACATTTTATATACTTAGGCTGTGTACGAGGTGGAGCTATCAGTCCCTTTATTAACACCCAGCTTTCAATGCTTTTCCTTCAAGGAAACATGTCCAGCAGGTGCCATGCAGGGATTGTGGTCTCTTCACACCTCCCCATGCAGGAGCCTGTGGGGAGGCCCCTCCCTCACCCACATTGGGCTGGCCCATGTGATGAGCTCCTGCCAATGGGACGGGAGGAAATGTGATACAAACAGAGCCTTGGGGAAATGCTAGAAGGAGCCCATCCTTCCTTACTCCCAGAATCTCATCCCCACCACTGTCTGTCACTGGTCTATGCACTGTCCTCCCACTGTTCATCAATTTCCTTGAGTGGGCACCAGTAATGTCACTTTTCTCAGACTTGTTGTTACTGTTTTTGGCTTATCGAAAATGCCATGGGGAACTTGCCAGGCTTTACTGTATGGGCAGGATACTCTCGGTAACTTGCCGGGCTCTCCAAGAGAAACAGAGGAATCGAACCCGGATTGGCCACATGCAAGGCAAACATCCTACCCGCTGTGCTACTGCTCCAGCCTATCCTCCACCATGAAACGAATTCATCCAAGCCAGCCAATGAAGATGTCAGACACCTCATTCCCATCACCCCAGCCAACAGCCAGGCATCCCAGCAAAGTCGTCTTCAACTAAGCAGCCCTCAGCGAGCCAGATGCTGGCTGGAGTCTTTGGACCCAGACGTAATCTGCAGAAGAACCGCCAGCTGAGCCCCGCCTGCACCGGCCCGCAGAACTAACTATAAAGCTAATCAGTGATTGTTTCAGTGATTCTGCATTGGAGTGACTGGGCATCAGCGGATGCTAAATGATACAACCCACAGGAAGTTCAGTATCCTCCAGAAACATCAGCTGAGAGTTCATTAAAGGGACCAATCCCAGAAACAGGGGAGGCTGGAGAGGCACAACAAAGGATATTCCCATTTTAAGGACCCAGCCACTGAGGACTAGCTGCCTTGCCCTCCCCCGGGCTGCAGGGTAGTTTTACCTTGTAGTTTGGATTTGGTTTAGTTTGGGTTTTGTTCACACCTGGCAGTGCTTGGGGTTTTCTCCTGGTAGTGCTCAGGGGACCACATGAGGCTCTGTGGATGGAACTGAAACGGGACAACTTGGGAAGATAGACCATCTTAGGGAGATGCCTTAGCCTTGTTCTCTCCCTCCTGCTCTCCCTTCCTCTCCCCCACCGGCCTGTTTTTTTTAAAGGACACCCCAAGCATTGTTCAGGGGGCTTCAGGGGTCAGTGCCCCTGTTGCTTGGCCTACCAGGCCAGTGACTGACGGCTGTGGTCCCCAGTTGTGGTGCTGCTGGAGCTTGTACTCAGGACCACCAGGACTGTGTTCAAGGGGCTCCAGGGACACCCCATGCTGTGGCTGGGAGGCCAAACATGGGCCACAGGCCGGCCCCATGTCCCCTGGGGCAGCCCCCCCCCAGCCCCTCTGTGCTGTATCTCCCTACCTGAGCAGACTTCTTTGTACGTAGGGTTGACAGTGTAGCCGCCAGCGAAGCCAACTTGAGTTGAGTAGACGCCGTTCAAGTTCCAGAACTTCCTTTCAGCTCCCCAGAAACAGCCCATGCCTATGAGCGACACAGACTCTACTGAGTGTTTGGTCAAAAACAAGGTGATCGTGCTTTTATCGGGGCCCCAGTGACATTATAAAAGGGATGCCATTTTTTTTCTTTTTGGGTCACACTCAGCAATGCACAGGGGTTACTCCTGGCTCACGCACTCAGAAATTACTCCTGGCAGTGCTCGGGGGACCATATGGGATGCTGGAAATCGAACCCGGGTCAGCCGCGTGCAAGGCAAATGCCCTACCCACTGTGCTATTGCTCCAGCCCCCAAGGAATGCCATTTGGAAAGCAAAAACAACTCAGACTTTATATTCTAAGGAAGGAGAATTTTAAAACATTTAAAAATAATTTAATTTACAGGCATTTGCATAGACATCTATTTGGACTAATTGTCCCCCAAACACCTAGAGGATCTCCATTTTGAATGGAATTAGTAAAGTCCCACCTTCCCAAAGAACAGTGAAAGATTAACTCTATGGATCTAGAGTAATTCCCACATCTGCTTCATCGCAGACTCGCCAAAACATACATATTTGCATCAATGTCTGGGTCCTGTTGTTTTAAACTTCAAATAAAAAAAAAAGTGTTTCCACTGAATCACGAATTTAAATGAGAATAACATCCCCAACCCAGCCACAATCTAAGCGGATCTAAGCGGAGGTCAAACAATGATTTCACCCGCTCTGGTGTGTAAGCATTTCTTAAGGCACTGCAGACTTTGGTTGCCTGCCACATTAACCATTACTTGTGTTCCATATGCTAGATAAGACAGAGAAAGAACTGTTAAGACCAGGAGGGGTCGAGCTGGGTCATTGCATGCAGGGCAAGTGCCCCCCACTCTGTACTATGGCTCTGGCCCGACCCATAGGGGAATTTTTATGTCCCCACACCACACTTGTGGCTCTGCATGGCTGTGGGTCCTGCTGCTCTGATGGGAGCCTTTTATGGGGGACCCTGTGAAAGGCACATGGCATCATGCTCTGGGATGTGCCCACACAGGGCTTGCCACGGGAAGTCAGCAATCAGCAGGGAAGGTATCGAGGGACAGAGGGAAGGAGGGAAGGAGGTGTTGGGAGCAGCAAGGAAGGTGTCACTGGAGGACCAGGCCCAGCACACGTTGGGTTTCCAAAATTCCAGACATCTGTCAGTGAACACGGATGGGTCTCGCTGTGACTCTTAACACAGACTTGGCCAATTGGCAGGAGTCTGAGCCTCTTTCTACGTGAAACTGTTCACGTCTGCTGTCTCTGATGACTTCCGTCCATTTCCTATTAGGTCCTTGTGTTTTTCATGTTGACTGGTTGTAGCCGTGTTTATTGCCAATTAAATGTTTGTGGTATCTTGTTCCTGACTTTACTCTGAACTCACTGGGATGTGCAGTGCCAGATGCCGGCATTTTAATGGCTATTAAATCTCTTTTCCTTCATAATTTGTAGGGTGTTTTGCAAATCTTGCACAAGAGCTCCCTCCATACATTTAAGTTATCAAGGTAATGGCCTCTATTTTCAGAAAGGCTAAAAATCTGTTCTCTGTTTAACAATGTTAATTCACCTGGAGATAACTTTCTGGCACAGGAAGTGGGCATTCAGGAGAATACATTTTTCCTCAGAGATATCAAATACACAAAATAAATTCTTCTTTACTAAGTGACCCATCGTCTCTCATTCACCTTGAACATCATCTCCATACAAGGGAGTAGTGCTGCTGGGCTGAATGGAAGAACCATTTATCATCCGTCCAGCATTGACAACAGAACTTTTTGAAAACTTCAGAAGAAATATCTCTTCAGTGCTTACTATGTGCCCAGAGTAAACACTTGGGGCATATATGGACAGAGCAAAGGTCTTACCCTCTTACCACGCTGGCACTCTACATGGTAAAAGAGATGATAAACAAGAACATAAATAAAGAGTAAATTAGGAGAAAAGGCTTTTAAAAAAGAATAAAAAGAAATACCAGGCCAGAGAAGCGAGTATGCTGGGCCAGACCATGTTCCAACTTTTTTTTTTCTTTTTGGGTCACACCCAGCGATGCCTAAGGGTTACTCCTGGTTCTGCATTCAGGAATTACTCCTGGTAGTGCTTGGGAGACCATATGGGATGCCGGGGATTGAATCCAGGTCGGCTGCGTGTAAGGCAAACATCTTGTTGCTCTGACCCCCAGACCATGTTCCAGACCATGAGGCCTGAGGCTGGAGTGGCCAGTCCTGCAGAGGGGATGGTCACCTCAGTGAACAGGGGCTTCACTTCTGCCACTAAGTTCCTCTTGGGCTGGCAGAGAATTTCAAACCCATGGGAAAGCCTAATGGGAGAGAGAAATGGCGGCAGATGCCAGGGGGATCTATGCAGAGACAGGCTCTGTAGACCATGACAAGGCCAAACAAGGGGTGTGGAGTCTGAGAAGGGGAGAAGGGCCTGGGGACTCTGGGGGGTGGTGGGGGGCTCACGGGGCAAGGAGGGGAGCTCCAAGATGAAGAAGGAAGACCCCACATCTACACCTGCCCGGCCACAGGGACCATCACTTCCTGCAGCCGAGGGGCTCTTGTAAGACCACAGTCTTCATTCTTGTAGGCAGTTAAGGGAGTGCTGAAAATCTGTGGGTTTTTTTGTTTGTTTCTGGCTTTTTGGGTCACACCTGGTGATACACAGGAGTTATTCCTGGCTCCGTGCTCAGTAACTCCCGGCAGTTCTGGGGGGGAGAGTCATATGGGATGTTGGGGATCGAGCATGGGTGGGCCATGTGCAAGGCAAATATCCAGTGCTGGAAATCTGTGAGCCTCCAGGGCATCAATCGGCTTCAGCTCCCCAAATCCAGGGGCTCCAAGCCAGCCCCAGCAGCTCCGTTCCGATGCTGAGGCAGAGAAGAAGCTGGTGAGAGCTGAGGCATAGTCTGCAAAGGGCCCCCTGAAAACCCAGAAGCAGAGTTGGAGATAAAGAGGCGGGGTCAGGTCAGGAGGATGAGTGGCTGTGGGGAGGCCAGCAGGGCAGCATGTCTGCAGGGCGGGTCAGGGGCGATGAGTCCTGGGCAGCACGCCAATGTTACCCAAGCACTCCCAACTTCTTGGCTATGCTTGGCCCATTACCAATCCAAATCTACTAGAGCATTGGCCAGTCAAGTTCCAGTAAACGCCCTGCTAAGAGTTGTGTTAGAATTACACTGATCTTATAGAATAATCTGAAAATATTCTGTTGTATTGATAATTACTGAGTCTTTTCATCAATGATCATAACTGAGCTGTCCATTTATTCAGGTTTTCTTGGATGCCCTTCAACAACCTGTCACAATTTCCTTGTACTTTTTATTACATAGTGTTCATTTTTATGTATCTTTATGTACCCTATGGCTTGTGCTGTTATAATAAACATTACATTTTCTATTATATTTTTATTACTTTTAGCTGGGATAGAAAACTTCATTGATTTTTGAATGCTTGCTATGTTGTCAGAAAACTTATGAAACTCCTTTATTAGTTTTAATGATTTGGCCATAGGCTTTCTTTAATTTCCTACACGGAGAATCCTAGGTTGTACAAATGACACTTTTATATCTCCCTGTTCAACCACTCTTGCTTTGGCCCACTGGATGCTGGGACTAGGATGGGAAACCTTGTCTTACCCGAACTGGACAAGGATGAAATAGCAGGAACTTGGTGCAGGTTCTTGGCAGAGAGCTGTCTTGTCAGCAGACAGCTTAGGCAAGCTTCCTGCTACATCGAGTTTGGAAGGAAATGTTTTTAAACTACATTTTTAAAATTGGGGGTGGCGGAGTGGGGGGACCACACCGAGCTGTGCTTATGGTTTCCTCATGGCTCTGTGTTCAGGGGTCATTCCTGGTGGTGCTCGGGACCCGTATATTGTGCTGGGATCAAACCTGGGTCAACTGAGTGCAAGGCAAATGCCTCACTCATTGGACTATCTCTCTGGCCTCTTACCTGAGCTTTGTACTGAGGTAACATTAGTTCCTTCCGAGAGAGTGAGTGTCCAGAGGCCTGAGAAAGGCACCCCGACCACACCAGGCCATCCCCGATGCCTGTGTGAGTGCTGAACCCCAACCATGCTGCCCTTTGATGGGCAACTCTGGCTCCGCCCAACTCCCCGGGTTCCCTAAAGGGGCACACGCCGCCATGAGCAGGCTTTCCTCATGCTGTGCTGGCCACACAGGCATCACAGGAGGGACTGGCTAGCCTGCTTCCATGTCCTCCCTGCTGACAGAATGGTCTCTTAGGAAAGTCCCATTCGGGCCTTGCAGTTGCATTTCTGGACTATGTCCAGGACCTTGAAGAGAGGCACCTGCCCAGGCCCCTGGCCTGCTATGGCCTTTCTTGTATTCTTCCAACCTGCCCTTCACCGACAGCCTGAGTCGTGATCTCAGATTCCTCCCTCCCTGTTCTTACTGCTCTGAGGATGGCATCTAACGACCTCCCCTGACAAACTGGGCCCAGAGACCCCCGAAAAGCACAGAGTGCCGCTCTGCAGAGGACTGGCTCAGATAGGGGTGCCATGGTCACAACAGTCAGAGGAGAGATCCTTGCCTTATGAGGGTCCCAGTCCCAGGATCAGCCTGGGCGGTCACCAGCTGGGGAGAGAAACGTTGTTTCTGGAGCTCTGGTATAAATCCACAGATATAGGCAAGCAGGGAAGGAAGGTCTGAGCTCTCTGTAGAGAGAGGAGCTCTCTGTGGAGATGAGGAGCGGGGGAGGGGGGAAGCCCTGGGCAGAACACCTCTCTTGCCTGGAATTCTCACCTAGTCACCAAACCTCTGTCCGTGGTACTGACTCAATCCCTGCCTTTGCCCCGCCAGATCTGATCCTCATCATTATGGTCCCCTGATAAAGATAAAGGTAAAGGTAAAGGCCCTCCCGTTGATCGTCGATTTGCTCGAGCGGGCCCAGTAACGTCTCTTCTTTGTTGTTACTGTGTCTGGCATATTGAATACTCTCGGTAGCTTGCCGGGCTCTCTGAGAGGGGCAGAGGAATCCAACTCGGGTCGGCCATGTTGGCCGC